TGAGTGATCACACCATCATGATTATCCAGGTCATGAAGATCTTTTTTTATATAGTTCTTCTGTGTATTCTTGCCACCTCTTCTTAATATCTTCTGCTTCTGTTAGGTCCATACCATTTTGGTCCTTTATTGTGCCCATCTTTGCATGAAATGTTCCCTTGGTATGTCTAATTTTCTTAAAGAGATCTCTAGTCTTTCTCATTCTATTCTTTTCCTCTATTTCTTTGCATTGATCGCTAAGGAATGCTTTCTTATCTCTCTTTACTATTCTTTGAAATTCTGCATTCAAATGAGTATATCTTTCCTTTTCTCCTTTGCCTTTCACTTCTTTTGTATTCACAGCTATGTGTAAGGCCTCCTCAGAGGACCATTTTGCCTTTTTGCATTCCTTTTCCTTGGGGATGGTCTTGATCCCTGCCTCCTGTAAATGTTACAAACCTCCGTTCACAGTTCTTCAGGCACTCTATCAGATCTAATCCCTTGAGTCTATTTCTCACTTCCACTGTATAATCGTAAGGGATTTGATTTAGGTTATACCTGAATGGTCTAGTGGTTTTCCCTACTTTCTTCAATTTAAGTCTGAATTTGGTTTCTTTGGTTAAGTCCTACCAATCCTACAGAGTTTACATCAAGGGTCTCTTTCTAAGGTACTCCTCTGATATCCCTGAATTGATCAGATCCCCCTATTTACATGTTCTCATAGCATCTTAGCTCTTAGCATTATTGAAATCGTTGTTGAAATTTTATATGTGTTTGTAATATTGGCCATATCTAGTGGACTGTAGATTTCAAGAGACCAGGTACCATGTCTTTTCATTTGCTTGTTTTTTGCTTTTTTACCCTTGAATCCATCTCTAATGCTTGGCATACTACTCCAACTATGTGCTTGGTATAACAAAATAGTAATTGTATGAATGACTGAATGAAAGTGGGAGGAAATGAAAAGCAAATATACTCTTAAAAGACATCCATGGTTTTCGTGTTGAGAAAACATGAAGAAAGCAATTGAGAACATATTTAGTTAATAACAATTAAAAATCTTAATTAGATTTGCTTTCTGCTCCGTCGTGTCCAACTCTTTTGCGTAGCCCACCAGGGACTGTAGTCTTCCAGGCTCCTCTGTCCATGGAATTTTTAAGACGAGAGTACTGGCATGGGCTTGAATTTGCTACTCCAGGGCGTTTTCCTCACTCAGGGATTGAATCTGCTTCTCTTTCATCTACTTGCTTCTCGTGCATTAGCAGGCAGATTCTTTACCACTAGCGCCACCTGGGAAGCCCAAGCTCAGTGTATTGATAGAGAAACTAGATACAGAATTTAAGAGATTAACCACAGTGTATCAATGTCTTGTTACTCAGATATTTTTAAGATCACCTATTTATTCAATTTAATGCTGGAAAATAACAGTAAAATTTACTTCAACCTCCTTATTTTCTCAAGACAAAGGATTGTCCAAGGCCCAGCTGTCCAGGGTTTGGATCATCTCCTAACCCTCCTAAGTCATAACAAGTTGAGGAGACTTATAGTTGGATTTTTGTTATATAGTGTGCTGTAGGGCCTGTCAAGGCACTAGGCTACTCAGAAGGCAACCCAACTTAGATCAGAATTGTTTTCTCTATGGTGAGAACTAACCTTAATACTGACATTGGTGGCTATAAAGCAAATATAAGCATGTGCCCTACTGTAACAATATGAACTCAAAACCACAGATAGGAAGGGATTTAACTTTATAATATCAAATGCTATTTGTTTGATTTGGATGAATGCAAGCTGTGGCTAAAAACTTGGATTTAGCTACAACTTCAGAAATGGCTACTAGAATTAAGCACTACCCACCCACCTACCCCCACCCTCAAACCCTGAAAAAAAAAAAACCCAGCCTACTCAAAGCATTTTGCTTCAGCCAAGTTATTTATGTACATTATAAATGGCGTTGAAACTGTTTCTCTAATTGCTACAATTTTTAAAGAAGCTGGTACAATTAGTAATTGCATTAAATCGCCTAACTTAATTTGACAACATTAAGAATTAGTCACTTTGCAAGCTTTAAAGTGCTTGTCTTTGTTCTACAAAGAAAGTAATTTGGTAGTGTATTAATATTATTAAAGTATATTGGATGATATTTAAAATGAAATAGACTAGAAGCAGTTTTAAAGGGTAGCAGAGTCTTTGTATGTCAATGTAGTCATTCAAGTTAGATGATATGGTTATTAATTTGACAAGAGATAGTATTCTTTTGAACTCAGAAAGTGTAGTATTTGCCACAGCATATTTGAAGTTCATATTTTGGTTGCAGTTCACAATCAAATTATTTGGTGTAATGGGAAGGAAAAAAGATACTGATTTGATGATCAGAATTTTTTTTGGTATGCAGTAATCTAGAAATGTTTAATACTTGGGGAGTTATTTTATTCCACATTATAACTAACTTTATGAATGACATTAATGCCAAGTTGCTAGAATAATTTAAAAATTGTTTAAAATATTTAAAACTAATTTTAAAAAATTTAAAAATTCAAGCAGGTTGAAAAAAATTAATGCTATCTGAGTCATAGTCATGTGTTTCATTTTTGATTTGAGAATAGTGAATCTTTTTTAGGAAGGTGCAGTGTGGGGAAAGTTTTTGAGGACTGTAAGTTTTTTCCAAAAATGTTTTTCTTTTCTTTTTTTTTTCTTTCTGATCTGTGCAACTCCACAGTGACTGTTTCCTGCCTGTACCTTTGGATAACCCAAATTCATGCATAATATACCTGAAATTTCCAAAATGAGTTACTACCTGCAGGTTTTCTCAGGGGAAAAAAAAAACTTTTCCAGTAGTTGAACATTTCCCTATGTATTACCTGTAAATACTTCCCTAAATAAATCAGTTTTAAATAGCAAGCACAAGTTTAGAAAAGTGAACATAGTTGTAAAATGCATCTTTGAAAAGAGTAAATGAAGACAGGTGATATTCAACGCCAGTTTGGTTTTAAATAACATAAATGCTCTTAT